GGGGTGCGACCAGAGTCACGGAACGAATTAAGTTCGTAAACCGAGGTTCCACTGTATTTGACATCTCAAAGGAATGGATACTAATGTAGGTCCTCCTGTAAAGGAAGACGTGGAGATGCAGCTGGTCCCAGCCATGCCAATGAAGAACATCTAACTACCATACAGCTGGCATGGATGACAAACATTCCAGGCTACTCATAAACCATACCTACCCATAGACTGAGAATACAGAGCATCAAGACTAGGTATGATTGTGAGAACACATATCTTCTGCAAGTATGTTTCAAAAATCAATTAACAGACTCAAGTCATGTTTTATGGATAGTGGTACAATCCTCATCTTCTCCTCCATGTTCCAGCTTTTCCTTTCTGTATCTGACTCCCCCACCCCCAAAATTTTGCCATATTTCTGGTAACATCTCTGGACTCTCAAAATCCAGGAAGCCCTACCAAGGGAAGAAAGATGTCAGAGCAGCGAAGTGAGGGGAGATCCAGCAAAAAGATTACTTTGAATCAGAGACATCCAGCTGCAATTTATTCATTCACTGCAGGAGCTCAAAGCAGCATATGGAGTGTTCTCTTTGCTCCAACGTTACCTACAGCCCAACCTGGTTGGGCTGAGAGATCAGGAGTGGTTCAAAGTCATCCAGTGAGCTTCATGGATGGAGGAGGACTTGAACCCTGCTTTCCTTGCTGGTTCGGTAGGCGAGTAGCAAAGTCACATCAGGAACACCATAAATGGGCACTTGAATATTGTCAGCTGATACTCTGACTAAAGTGCATGTGATTTTATTTGGCAATCATACCAACTTCAACTTCAGGAAGGCCCTTCTGCCTCCTCACACTGGAGTTTATTTGCTTAACCAAGCGCCTCTTCCCCTTTTTAAAACCCACAGTACATTCACAAGATTAACATCTAATCAAAATGATCATAAAAACTTTGCACATAACATTTTAAATCCTTTCAATAAAACCACTGTACAACATCAAAAACTGCAGTTTTGTGTTTTTTTAAAACACGGTTCCAGTTAAATTCTCCAATTGCTGCTGCTCTGAACTGTTTTTCCTCATTGCCAAAGCAAAACCATATTGACAGGGGGTGTTTGTCACAATCCTTGGGGAATTAAAACCAGAAACCAAAAAGGGACTTTTGCTCTTATCCTGAACGTGTTGTGTCTCCCTTCACCAGCTTTGTTGATGAAGGTGATGATGACAATGATAAGTGAACAAACCTGGATGCTTATTTTCCAGTATTCCGAAAAGTTCCCCATGAAAGGCAATTGCTTCAACCCCTTAATCTCCACCTTCTTGAAGGAATTGTGCAGCCAGATTCCAGAGCTGGAACCACCACCAGCAAGGAACATTAGCACGGGAATTGCAAGAAGTGTGTTAGAATACTCCTGCTTGCAATAGGGTGGCACTGTTTTAAATCACAAGCTTTACCCATTTATTTCTCTGTTTGAGCTCACCCAACCAGGTTTGATCTAACGACCTGAAGGGCCATCCATCCACCAGGAATGCAACTTTTCCTGGCATGGGAGTAAAAGCTTGGGGAAGCAACAGCAAAGTCCTTCCCCCTTTTTTTTTAAAGCTGTGCCCTGTTGGTGTGACTGGACAGTGCCCAAGGAGAATTTTTTCATTTATATTTCAAATTTGTCCCTGTTCAGCAACTCTGGCTAGCCACATCATGCTCGGGAAGAGGACTCCTAACCCTCTGCTCAAAGTAAAGCTGGGTCCCTCTTTGCAAGCCTCTGCAGGGTCACAGCTGGACAGCTCAGGCCCTTCTTCTGAAGCCAGCTGCCTCCCACCGACACCTGCCAGATGTGCGGAAGCTCCAGCGAGGCGGGGGGGGGGAGGCGAGAAAGCAGAAAAGCTGCTCCAAGCGCCCGCCCCACCCCGGAGTCTTGCTCCTCGAAGAGGCCCC